TTGGCTGAGAGCTACCAGGCAAGTTGGTTGATGTCACTTGTTGTCCAGTGACTATTGATTGGTCCTGGTGAGTGTAGCATAGGGGCCCACTGTTGGATATAGATATGAAAAGTATATTTGGCCTCTTTCATAAAGAACTTTGTAGAATGTTACACAATCTCAGTGGGATTGGGCAAAAGATTGAGTCACAAGAAATGTGACTTACCATCATTCAAAGTCCTGTAATTTTCAGAATGCCATTGATTGAGAGCAGATATAGGATCTTTATCCCCCAGCTCATGCCAGAGGCTAGAATTTTCTTTGCTTTCAGGAGTGAAATACATAAATTCCCTGAATGTGTGTGCTGATATGAGTTCCTGCTTGAAAATGTAATCAATCATTTGGAATATATTTCTTTGGAGCTTGTCAACCATACAGTTCACCTCCAAGAAAGTGGCCCTCTCCTCATCTTTCAATGAGTTTATTTTGTGAAATATAGTGTTCAGTCTTTCAACCTGGCCATCCCAAACCTTCTGGATGATTATTTTCACTACGTCTGTATTCAAGAATCTTAGAGAAACATCATGTTGATGAGAAGGTTGAAAAATCTCCCTTAATCTTTTAGCAAATACCTTGCTTTCAAGACCACTTAATTCCATGGTCTTGAAATGTGATCCTTGTTATTTTAATTTGTAATTTTTTTTCTTTGGTGCCTTGTGCAAGAATTCTGTTGAATTCTTTCAGATGTTGGATATTCCTTGCAGGTTTTTTATATGTTGATTTTTTTTAAAATCTTGAACGCACCTAATACACCTCCTTTCCAAGTCTCTCCATATTCTTAAAATCTTTAAGCATTTCAGATTCTTGATTCTTTTCTTTGATTGATGTGGAGAAATGAGAGGATAAATTCTTCTGAATATTCCACACAAAGAGCATCTGGTAGGCATTGGTAATTTTAACCACAGAGGTAATATCACCATAACTGATATTTCCCCAGCATTTACAATATCCGTAAACTGCTCACCCTTATTATGGACACCCTTATCCTGATCAATATCATAGAAATACCACATTAATTTTTATTTCCCATTCCTTGATATTCAAAAAGATCCTTCTGCTTGATTATTTCTAGTGTCAGCTTTGTTTATGACACTTTGGTACTGTCAAAAAACAAACCAAGTACTATCACTGTGCTGAAGTAATCTTAAAGGCAGAAATTTGTCAGCCTTAGAGACAGTAAGCCTGCCCAAAAGGCTTCAATTGTAAATAGAAAATTCCAACTCTTTCATTTTTCTCCTTCATAGAGTTTTTAGAATAAAAAAACAAGTCTCATTGTGAGATTCTCCATATTTCTCTACCCTTGTACAACACATGATGTGTAGTGTTTGTGTGTTGCATGCCTGTTATTTTCAAGTTTGATGAGTGGTAACTTCTAAGTCTGATTCACCAAATTGAATAATATTCAATTTGAAGCTCACCCACCTCAGAAATAGAACTCAACCAACCAGAACCACTCAGATCACACAGGACACACAGATCCCTCACTCTTAGGACATTTTCCCACTCACCAGTGTCATCACCTCCTAACAGTAAGTCATCTGCCTAGGTATCTCCCTTATTCTGTTCTCTTCTGCCCTCTTGGATTGGTTCTCTGAACCACTCCCCATCTTCTACTTACTTGTTTCTCTCCCTCTCTGATTTGTCACTTATGTTTTTCTGTGGTTTTTCTGCATCAAACAAACCACATAGGTTTCCTCTTGAAGATCCTTGTGCACTTGCTGCCTAAAACATCAGGACTTGGTCTTCAAAATAGTAGAGTTTCACTCTGACCAAGACCCTCTGTTGACTCTATCCAGAGGAGGCTGTAATCACTCCAGCTTGCTCATCCTCTTTTGAGTAGAGTTTCTGAGCTTCTCCTCCTCTTTTGAGCTGAGTTGAGATCCAAAAGAGTCAGAGCCCTGTTCTACTTTTTTTTCTTTCTCCTTGAAATCAAACAAGTTTAACAACCCAAACTTGTGTCCTGTTGCCACTCTAGAGGAATAGGCTCACAAAATTACTCTCTGTCACCCTCATTTTATGGATCAAATGACAAGAAAAGGGGTGATTGCCACACTACTGAGCCACCAAATACTACACTGGGAGTATAAGGCAGGGGATAACCCCTTAAAAACAAAATACTTGATATAAAGAAGTCTTGCAAAGAGGTGATACTAGAGAGTATGCTTGGGTTTAGAATTATATGAATGAAGCAGCTGGAAAGCACTTAATTGGTGGTGGTCTTGCAGCAAAAAATTTATAGAGAATATGGGAAGGCATAAAAGGGGAGTTTCAAGGGACCTGACCAGTATTCCATGGATGGTGAAATGAAAAGGGAAATGGATGCACTACTCTAATAGTAGGACAAGAATATTCACTAAGATACTTACTGTAAAATTGTGGGTGAATATGCTGAGGTTTTTAGAGCCAAAGAATGCCTCATTTTATATTCTAGAGGTCCCTTCAGGGACTAGAAGTTTCTTGTGTATTTCACCATTCTTACATCAAAGTTCATTTGGTGTACTTCAATTCATTTGATTTCCCCATGACATAATGCTACATTGTATATTCAACTGCAACATGTGTCTTTCTTCTTTAAATAGAATGAATTAGGATGAATTCACATTCACTTGTCAAAGTGTGAATCCCTTATTCTAAAAGTTACAGGACTTTTTTAAATTGAAAGAATATTCCTCAGTTTTTATTCCCACAAGTTTTGAAATATTTACAAAACTTGAATGTACCTGCATAAGCTATTCTATGTACATGATATAAGTTGGTGATTATGTATTTACAGTGCACAGTCCACAGCACCAATAATCTTATTATTTTTATTGTGGTATTTTGAGAATTTCCATAGTACCAGAAGGAGTAGTAGTTTAGGGTTAGGCCCAGTGGGTGAAACTAGCTAAAATTACATGAAACTTCATTTCTTAAATAATATAACAGTATTTCTCAATAATAAACAAAATATGAAATATTCTGCAGTCTTTTGGATACTCTGGAGTATCTCTGAGGCTGACATCTATTCATGTTTAGTTTTGCCTAGTTTTGTTTGGCCCTGAAATTCCTTATCAGTTTTTTCGAGGTTTTGTCTTAACTTGCATATTCCGTCACAATATTTTATCTTTATTCCAAGTTATTTTATCTTAAATTTAACCTTAACATTAGAATAAATTAACCTCAATAATATGCATCAGAAATATGTACTTGATTATCTGGAAGCATCTATAAGTTATTGATTATAACTATAGTAGCTCCCAATATCATTAATACATACCATAGCCCCTGGAAGCGCATAGAATAAGACTTTGGAAACTTTCATGCAATAGAACAAAGTATCAATTGAATCAATAGAAATATACTTAGTTCAATAACAGATCAAATGGAATAGCCCAACATATAATATCACAGCTCTGATCCTATGACATATTCAATGACCCCTCCCTGGCTGTGAACTATTACATTATCCCTTGATGTTCTCTGACTGATCCTGGAGTATCCCATAGATAGCAAAGAGCATCCCATGAGCGCTTCTCAGTGCACATTGAAGATATTTTAAGCCCTGGATCTTCAGGCTTTGTTCCTCAGTCTTCACCCAGTCCACAAAAGTCCTCAGTAGAACTTCAGTACCTTATTTTTACAGTCATCACTCCCCTGCATTTTACAAAAAAAAAAAAAAAATACATTACAGCTTTGTTTAGTCTTTCCACTGGATATCACCATCCACCATTATGCACACTATCCCTGTCTGCCCTGATACTCCTTTTAGGCGCAAATGGAACCTAGATAACCTAGTTTTTAGGCCTCCCCTGTGGGACTCATGCAATTAAGTGTCTTCACTTCAAATCTCAATATTCCCTGACTGTCTCAGCAGGAAGAATCCAACATGAAATCTGGATTTCCCTCCGTGATAAAGGTTGAGAAGAGATTTTCAAATTTAGTTACTCAAGCTAATTACCCCTAACCCTGATAATTAACACAGACACTACCCTGAAACCCTTCATCCAAACCATTCATCAACACTTATAGCACAACCCAGGGCCTTTAAACCATTAGGCTATTAGTATAGAGGCTGACAGGGAAAGAATTTATCCAAAGAGATCATGAGAGGCTTCTCTCTATTGGTTATGAGGAATTAAGGGGGAGCACTGTCAAAACAACTTGCTCAACTGCCTGCAGTTTACATGCAGAAACTCCCAGGAAGCTTCTGTTATTTTTCCAACCATTCTCCAAGAGTGATTCAACCAAGCTTTGATGCACAGTGACTGTGCCAAAACATCTACATATGCAAACAGATGGAGTTTGGATGACAGCTTGGCTGGAGCTTGGTCAACTGCAGGCAGTTGAGCAGGTTTTTTTTTTGCAGTGTGGGTTTGTGATGTTTAGCTGATCCAAAAAGAAAGCCAAGTTAGGATTGGGAACCTACATCATCTAAAGAGACCAAAAATATGGTTATCATAATGTTTGGAACTATATTACATTGTGATCTTCAACCCACATTCAAAATCCAACTTTTGCCCATGAAGTGGTACAGTAGAATGCCTAATGCAACTTAACTTCTTGTGGATCAAAAAAGAAAAAGAACAAAAATATGAAATTGAACATGATAGTACAATGCCACTTGACCAGAATGAAAAGAGGACAAAATGTTCAGTTATTGTAAAAAAAAAACCCCAAAACTTTCCAGTAGTCATGTTTCCAGAACTATCAAAGCTAGTACCCTGTGGAAACCATCAGACCAAAAGTAAATATAACCCAACACATCTTGCACATTAAAAACAAAATATGAAATGCCCTTGGTTATAGATTGGAAAGCTGGTCTTTGTTTGGAGCTAACCAAACATATATAAATATATCTCACTCCTCATTATAATTTTCCTTTATTCAGTGCGAAATCAGTTTTGATTGCTGATGAAGCGGAGGTTACGCACACGGAGTATAAATTTCAAATATTTTGTTTGAGAGACACGCAACTGAAGACACTATGTCCGAGTGGTTAAGGAGCCGCCCTGCTAAGGCGGTAGGTTTACCTGCGCGAGTTCGAATCTCGTTGGTGTCGTGCGGCTGCGTGATCATTCGCTCCCCTTTCGCACCGTGGCCACTGCGGGGCGTACACTTTCTCCTTTGCCTTTTTGAAAAACAAGTGGGGGAAGAAAAAAGCATGAGGAAGGGGAAGGAAAGTATGACCAGAAACCCAAAAATGGTTGTGCAACAACCAATACAAGATGAAGAGAAAAAAATATAATAGATGCCATAGACTGAAAAGATTGCAGGTCTATGCGAAGAAGAAAATGGATCATGGCGAAACGAATGAGTGTGTACAAAACATTGAGGGGGGAGCATGGCTCCCACAGGCAATCCTGGACAGCAAGGCAATCGGAGGGAAGGAGCCCGGACAAATTGGGTGTCTCCTTATCCTTAGAGGTGAAGCACTACGACGTCACAAGCGCGTGAATTGTTTGATTTCTTTGATAGACGTTGTATTGATGGTGAATCGACTAAGTAATTGATAAGCCCCGGGAGGTATATGTCACTTGATCACCCAGCGCATTCTCTATTTGTGGGACTGAGGACCTTCTTCTTTAAGCAGTTTAACTTGAAATTTTCTGTCAAGAATAAAAAGAAATATGTATCCCAATTAGCACATCCAAAGCAAATGAAAAAAAAGTTTCCCTTCCTTTGGGATGAGTGCCAAATGACGTATGAAGCGAAAGCGGAAGAAACAAACAATTGATTCAAGCATAACAAATTGAACTCGATCGCGATTTCTTGTAAAGTCAACGTAGAGGGCGAGGGACGAGCATACGAACGAATAAGATCGACTGATTTCGGACGAGCGGGATCAGGCTTGGGTGGACTAGGATGGTGCTGTTGACAGGGATGATGACGATAGTTGAATAGTTTGTCAAGAGTGAAAGATTTCCGAGTGTGTTGAAAATTCTGATTCATCTGTTCCAAAAAGCCACCGATCGGTCTTGCTTCTTTGACGGATTGTTTGTATATTTGTTCCTCCATTGGGTCCACATTCGAGCGAGTGAGACTTGTCAACGGGTCTAGGCTTTGACCTCGACGCCTGTCGTATTCATAATTCAACATCTGTTCGGATTTCTTATTATCGTGATTGTAATTCAAATTTTTCAAGAGCGTTGCCTTAGACAGGGAGCTGAATTTGTTTTGTCTACTTTGTTGGTTTTGATTGAGCACATGATGGGCAGAAATTCTTTCGATCTTGAAGCCTTTGAGCGAGAAATCATCAGCACTGCCGCTAGTTTGATAGACACTGTGTATCTTTGATTGTCGCCTATCATTAGTCAGGACCATAGCATTGAAGTCTTCGATGGACTGTAGCTTAAATAATTCAATCTGACTGGTTTTGTGAAATGGATAACCAATCCTGATAATTTTGCTGCGAGTCGTTTCGCTCGTTCGGGTTTGGCTTGATTTACAGTGTTTGCAAATCACTATTTCGAATCCAAAAAAACATTAGTCTTGTTTGATCTTGAAATATTACCAAGAGAAAAAAAAACTCAACGATCAAATTCAGATTTGTTCATTCTTTCCATCCACGACGCTACCTGTTGGGCAAAAAATTAAACAACTTTGAATGAGGATGCATGCGGTAAATACCACTATGTGCTGAATGCAAAGAAGACTTGCAAGTATTTCATTGTGATCGAAATTGTCCTCTAAAGGAGTAAATCAAAACTACTAGTCAGAAATTTCTTGCAGGCCATTTTTTTTTGCCAAAGGCAAAAGGAGCAAGACTCAACTCGTGTACCTGCACGCCTCGATCACAGATGCCCAAATGCGGGAGCCTAAGAGATAAACCGGATTTTTTCCCAATTTGTCAGAGATTGATGGTGGTTGTCGATGATCAAATCGAAACAATCGAAAGGCAGTGTGGTGAGTTTTTTTCTTAACACTTTGGCCTGTCAGATTTCGGAGCGGAATGTTGGCATCAGCCCGATTAGATCAAAAGGCGCAACGATGAGACAAACGTCACCTAGGCTGGTATGTGTGATCGACTTGGCTTTTCCGAAAGGGATTCTTGAATGATTCAGGTTTTTTTGAGGTTGTAGCTCACAGATTCTTCGTCTCATGTATTCGATTAATTCTGTCGAATGAATTCCGCTTGGGATGGGTTTGGTGAAGTCCAGTTGATCTGTTTTTTTTTAACATAGAGATCTGTTTATTAGTCATGATTCTGTGAGTGAGGTAGTAGTAGTAGTAGTAGTAGATAATGAGAAAGGAGGCTAGCCAAATGGATGAATCTGATCATCTGACCATATTTCTTCCGGGCGATGATTAGATGCAGTGGAATGTGGGGATGCAATTTTTTGTTTGGGTTTAATTCCGATCACGACGAATTCTTGCTCTGATCTAAGTCCTGGTGGTGTGGGTCTAGCCCATGAGCTGGCGCCGGGGAAGACATTGAGTAATTTTTCCCAGACTTCTTCTCGATCTAGCTGAGGGAGGTTCAGTTGATCAGAGATGGATTTGAAGCCGACGAGGATGTCCAATTCGGGTATGGTTGACAGATCGGGGTCGGTGGGGGTGGCTTCAGGTTCGAATTGGGTGGTCAACCAGTGTTTGATAAGTCGATCGAAAGCAGCCCAAGGGTTAGATTTCTCGTTTGGGTCGCCGGATGTGAGATGGGTGGGAGGGAGGATGAGGGTTGGACTGCTTGATGGGAATTGTATTGTGTTGACTGTTCCAGGCGACTTGGGGGAAGGCAGTGCGAGTGAGTCGGAAGGAGTGATGGTCAACTGGGGAGAGAGGGAGAGGGAAGCCTGCGCGGAATAAATTAAATGGTTTATGTAAGGTGAGCTGCTGACAAAGCGACGACTGGCTGAAAAAATGAAATAGTACGAACGGGCTTGCTGGCCAGTGGGTCACGTGAAATAGTCCGCTGCTCATCACACTTATCCTTGTAAGCCAACTGGCTGTGGCTTACAACAGTCGATCGAGTATGTGTAGAGGTCATCATCATCGAAAATAAAATAAAATAAAATAAAATAAAATAAAGTAAAATAAAATAAATATGAAGAAAATATAATACCCCTCCTGAAAATTCTGCTCCGCTTTCCCATCAAGGCATTAAACGCACCCTTTTTATCGTCTCGCACCACTATCTCATGCCCTTCATGACAACTTCACTGCATGCCATGCGTAGTTCAGATCCATATCATACGCAAGCCAACAGCTCATTACATAAAGCAAGATGTGAGAGCACAAAATATGTACAACAACCAAAGACTATTTCTGGTGAAGGGGTTCGAATCACTTGAGGATCAAACGTGAAGATCCCTACGTAGATGAACTATGACTTATTTACATTGAGATTATTGAGAAACTATATGGCCCCAATTATAAAGCAGATTTTGAAAAGTTTTGAAAAGCTTTTCGAAAGATTTTGAAATGGGGTTTTGATGAAAAAATTAATTGTTTGTTCAAAACCAATCCAAAAGTTATCAGCAATTATAAACAATGGTGCGCGAAAACCTCACTTGACCCAACTTGTGAAGCATCAGCTCATCCTTGAGCGCTGATCATGATTGGAGTGACGCTTGCTTGGCCATCAAACCAGCAAAAACCAAAAAACAAAAATGATGCTATCTCGTCACTTCAACCTCACCCTTCGGCATGGCATGGCCCTTTAGTACATGCTGTTCATCCAGCGATGACAGGGACGATGAAGGAAAGTGTTTTTGACACGTCAACTGATTCATCGGAGCTGGCTGGGGCTGGTGGCTACTCCATTCAGCAGGCGGACGAGGGCTTTTGGAAAGTTTTTGGCCAAAAATAAAATAAAATAAAATAAAAGACAAAAAAAAAGCAAAAAGAAAATTCAAAACGGATTCAAAATAAATCCAGACAATTTTCAAAATCTGCTTTATAATTGGGGCCTATTTTTCTTTTCTTTTCCTCCCATTTTGCTGGTGGAAGCATGATCTTTTTCATCAGAATGATCTCATTAATCAAAACGTTGCTGAATGTAGCATTTCTCAGGGCAAGTTATCTCAACTTTGCCAATTAAGTTTAACCACCACTGAAACATTAGTTCATACATGGAAATGGTCATGAGGCTCTCTCACAATACAGTCTGCCTCCAGCCCCTCCCCCCCAAAAAAAAACAAATAATAGAAATAAAAATAAAACCAACACCAAATTAAAGAAATACATGGTACAAGTGGAGATCAGACAAAACGTCAACATCAGCAAGAAAAAAAGATGAAAACACGTTTAGGAGGACATAAGCTCAACAATTAATAGCAATATAAAATCTAGAAATGAATGACATGAGAGAAATGCATCTTCAAGTTGCACCAATCAAAAAAAAGAAAAAAAAGAACAACAGTTTGAGGGTTCTGTGTACAAAGAACGGAGAGAAACATAAGGTGTTAAGAATCTGCAGGATTGTTCACCGGAATCGGTGGCCTAAGTGTGCTCCCTTGAAGATCATCGGACCTGTTCGGAAAAAAAAAACATGAATCAGGTTCAGCAAGAGTTCCTGCGGCTGTCGTGTGTTTTTTTCTGGGCCTGCTTGTTCCCCTTTCCTATGCGCAGTCAATGTGGATTTTTATTAAGACAAAGGCGCTTACCTCCACGCAGATTCGCCATAGGTAAAAAACAAGAGCGCATGTAATGTTAGTACATAGATAAGGAACAAGTTTCGAGTCAACCGGTTGCCAAGGACGAAGTTTGCCGTATGAAGGACCAATTTATCTAGTGGGTTCAATGCTTGCAGTGCCCCCATACGTTCCTATGCAAAGATCGCATGACGGGTGATGGTGATTTTCAGTTACATTCTTTCACACTGGAAAGCATTTTCAAACATCAAGAGGTGGCACTCCCAATCAAGACAACTTACTCGGCCTCTAAATTTTTCAAACGGGTTCATATGTTCCTCATAAATCCCGCGATATTTACTCAATTCTTCATCTTTTCTCGAAACGGTACTAGGAATCGAAGAGGTAAAACGGTTGAATCGAGACGATTGGTCGTTGAGGGTTGTACTGCCGAGGTTATCACGGTAGGATTGCAAGTATCGAACCTTTT